ATTCGGGAGAAAATTCTCTGACCGCGCAAGGCAGCGAGCATTCTGATTAGCTGCGATTGCGATAGGCGCGGGGCGGGCACAAAATTCATGAAAAGCAAACCCAACTTTAACCACTGAATGTTTTCTTCTTGTGGCCCAGTCCTAGTAGTCTGTGCTTTTGCTCTGCTCTGCCCTTTTCCTGTGATTGTCACTACTGGACTGACTACCAGGAAAATAATCTGCACCCTATCCTTCTCTACCACTGTCTAATATCCGCTACTTATCTCCTTTCCCTCTCCTCCCTCTCCTCTTCTCCTCTCTTCCTTCCGCCCCATCTTCCTTCCGGGTTCACCTCCTCGTGACGTGGTTTCTTCTATTCGGAGTTTTTGATTTTTTTTTCCAGGGGTCTGTTGTTGGTGCGAGATGGATGTTGCAGCTCTCCGAGACCGCATTCAGTCTACTCTCGACGCAAATGCGGATAATCGACGCCAAGCTGAATTGGATTTAAAATATGTATGTGGGGAGAGGACTCTGGAATGAGGGTTGACAGTGGAATTTCTTCTGACATAAATCTAATACTGGTCATTATCTAGGCTGAGACACAACCCGGCTTCATAAATGCGCTTCTGGATATTTTGCAGGGGGAGCAGAACAATGCTGTTCAACTTTCGGGTATGTTGACCCCGCTGGAATCTCCGAGAATTTTTTTTTCCTTTTCTTCTTCCTCTTCGGGCCCCTGAAGATCGATGGAATATTCGGCCTTTTCGCTGGGCATAACTGATGATGAATAATTACTTGCAGCCGGTGTCTACCTGAAGAACAGAATCAACCGCGGATGGTCGCCCGTCGAAGACAGCCCCCTGCGCGCACCGATTCCAGAGGCTGAAAAGCCCGGCTTCCGAGAGAGACTGATCCCAGCGCTCGCATCGACACCTCCCAATGTCCGCGCACAGCTTGTTCCTCTCCTCCAAAAGATCCTTCAGCATGATTTCCCTGAGCAGTGGCCGGGTTTTCTGGATATTACGCTTCAGTTGCTGGGCACCAACGATGCGAACTCCGTCTACGCTGGTCTACAATGTCTGCTGGCCATCTGCCGTGTTTACAGATTCAAGGCTGGAGAGAAGAGGGAGGAATTCGACAAGATTGTCGAGCACTCATTTCCTCAACTCCTGAACATTGGCTTGAAATTGGTCGACGAGGAGAGCCTGGAGGCAGCTGAAATGCTCCGGATTGTTGTCAAGTCCTACAAACATGCCATTTATGTGGGTGACCCGGAAATCAGATGCAGAAGGGGTAAGGGCTGACTGTTGGTAATCATAGTTCGAGCTTTCGCCTCATCTTCAAACCCACCAAGCAACTGTCGACTGGTGCACACTCTTCCTGAGAATCATTGCTAAGCAACCTCCTGCCAACTCCATGATGGAATCCAAGGAAGAGAGGGAACTCAATCATTGGTGGAAGTGCAAGAAATGGTCGTATGCCAACTTGAACCGTCTGTTCATCAGGTTAGTGGATGTTCTTCCCTTTTTGTTTGACGGCGAACAATTTATTTACAGGAGTCCGTAGATACGGAAATCCCACCACAATGACCAAGTCCAGCACCCCAGATTACTCTCAATATGCGAAGACGTTCATCAGCACGTTTGCTCCGGAGATTCTCAAGGGATATTTGCAGGAGATTGACAAGTGGGTGTCAAAGGGACAATGGCTCAGCAACCCTGCTCTTGCATACACCTTGATCTTCCTGGAAGAGTGTGTCAAGCCTAAGGCGATGTGGGAGCACCTGAAGCCGCACATGGACAATTTGATCGCTCACTTCATATTCCCGATCATGTGCCAATCAGACGAGGATATTGAGCTGTTCGAGACCGACCCCTCGGAATATCTCCACCGGAAGTTGAACTTTTACGAAGAAGTTTCGGCGCCAGATGTTGCAGCAACGAACTTCTTGGTCGCCCTCACCAAGAACCGGAAGAAGCAGACTTTCTCGATCCTTACGTTCGTCAACAGCGTCGTTAGCAAGTATGAATCTGCGCCAGACGATCAGAAGCTGCCCCGAGAGAAGGAAGGTGCTCTTCGCATGATCGGTTCACTGGCCTCCGTCATTTTGGGCAAGAAGAGTCCCATCGCCAACCAGGTCGAATACTTCTTCGTTCGTCATGTTTTCCCCGAATTCCGTAGTCCTCACGGCTTCCTCAGAGCTCGTGCTTGCGACACTCTGGAGAAATTCGAGCAGCTCGATTTCCAGGACCCCAACAACCTCATGATCATCTACCGGAATATCTTGGAATCGATGACCGATCCTGAGCTGCCCGTCCGAGTGGAGGCCGCTCTTGCTCTGCAGCCTCTCATTCGTCATGACATTATCAGAACGTCGATGCAGCAAAACATTCCCCAGATCATGCAGCAGCTGCTCAAGCTCGCCAACGAGGTTGACGTGGACGCTCTAGCCAATGTCATGGAGGACTTTGTCGAAGTTTTCTCGGCCGAACTGACGCCGTTTGCTGTGGCTCTCAGTGAACAACTCCGTGATACGTACATGCGTATCGTTGGCGAATTGCTGGAGCGAAATGCTGCCAAGGGCGAAGAGGACACATATGGAGACTTTTTGGACGATAAGAGCATCACTGCTTTGGGTGTACTGCAGACCATCGGAACGCTCATATTGACTCTCGAGAGCACTCCTGATGTGCTCCTGCATCTTGAGACGATTCTCATGCCTGTTATCAGCATCACGCTTGAGAACAAGCTTTACGACCTCTACAACGAGATCTTTGAGATCATTGACAGCTGCACCTTCGCCTCGAAGTCCATCTCACCTACAATGTGGCAGGCTTTTGAACTCATTCACAAGACCTTCAAAGCAGGTGCCGAGTTGTATCTGGAAGATATGCTGCCTGCCCTTGACAACTACGTCGCCTATGGCTCAGATATGCTGGTTCAGAACCCTGCATACCTTGCGGCCGTCGTTGGCATGGTCGAGGATATCTTCAGGGACGAGAAAGTCGGCGGTGTCGACCGGATATGTGGGTGCAAACTCGCAGAGACCGTGATGTTAAATCTGCGCGGCTATATTGACCAGTACATCCCTCTCTTCATTGAGCTCCCAATGCGCGTCATTGAGGCTGGGGAGGCTAGGACAAAGTCCTACCGTCTTCATCTGATGGAGATGGTAATCAACGCCATTTACTACAACCCTGTCCTTAGTCTGCAAGTTCTGGAATCCAAGGGCTGGACGAACAAGTTCTTCAGCACGTGGTTCTCCAACATTGACAACTTCAGACGTGTTCACGACAAGAAGCTGTCGATTGCAGCGATCAGCTCTTTGCTCACTCTGAAGGCTGGAGACGTTCCTGCCAGTGTGCAGCAAGGTTGGCCTAGACTCCTTCAGGGAGTCACCAGACTCTTCCAGACTCTGCCTGCAGCAATCAAGAGTAAGTGCCCGACTTCCTTTTACCACTGAATCTTACTAAGCTTTTGAAAGGCCGCGAGGACGCCACGAAAGAGTCCGACTTCACATACGATGACGAAGGTGAAGAGGATGACGAGGAGAATGACTGGGACGGCGAGGTCGAGTGGACCGAAGGGGATGAGCTCGAGGGGGCAGCCGAGGTCGACGTCCCTGACGAGAGTGCCGCCTACCTCGATTTCCTGAACCAGGAGGTGAGCGCATCATGGTTTTGGTCTTGAGAAAATCACACTAACCGTATTCTCCAGGCACAGAAGTTCGGCTCCTTTGCTGACGACGATGATGACGAGCTGGATGAGGAGAGTTTACTTGAGACGCCACTGGACAAGATTGAGCCGTACGGCATGTTCAAGCATGTATTCATGGGTATGTTGTCTTCTCCTGATGGAGTATGGGGCGCTTTGGCTAATTCCCTACTAGGCCTTCAACAGGAACAGCCACAGCTCTATGAGAATCTCACGAAGATTTTGAGCCCTGAAGAACAGCAGATCATTCAGGCTGTCTTCCACGAGGCTGATGCCAAGGCCATGGCAGCAGCTAACGCGGAAGCTGCCGCTGCTGGAGTTCAGGCTAACGGCACCCAATGAGACACGACTTGCAAGCAGAATCAAAAACAAAAAAAAATAGAAAAGAAGAGATGTTCGGCCCGTCGACGAAATGAAACAGTCGAGATTGCTGAATCTTCCACATTTGATGATATAAGAACATGCCATGGCTACAGCTCTTGGGTTTGGCTGTTTTCAAGCAGGCGCCTGGATTGAATACGGCTCTCACGCCGCATGTGCTCGTTTTTCCTCGCCCCATTTCCTTTTTTGTCATTTAGATCGTTTTCCTTTTCTTTGTCTGGATGCTGTCATGGTCATCTTGGTTCGTCTATAATTGTCATCATGATCTCTCTACACAAAAAGTCCCACCACTGTGATTACCTGTGATTTGATTCCGTTTCCCCTGCATCCATGTACTGCACAGAATCAGATTCCCCCCATTAATCCTAGCATTTGGCTTAGGTTCATTTATGCTTTGGCATGAGCGAAATAAGATGCATTCTACCTATGATTAAAGAAGAAGGAAGCTCCAAAATACTTTTCCACTCATTAGGTCTCTATTGGCTGAGGATTTGACTCCACTTACACAAACAATAAAAGTCACGTGATGAAAAAGTGCAAACAGCACAAACTACGGAGTAACAGGCCTATGACGCCATATCTGAAATCATGCCTGCTAGAGGTACAATGTAGACAGAGTCAAGTGGTCAACGATGCATCCAGAATTGATACTGCCTCGTCAATGCTTTCAATTGCAGCATGACTTTCTATAGCTGTTTTCCTAACTTAGTATGTGTTTCATGCACGAAGTACTCCTCGTACTATCAGAAGTACCTCCAGCGACAAGTTGATGATAACAGTGGGCCCCATCCCAGACGTCATGATGATGAATTCCAACAAGGCGACCCTGTCTCCAGCTCTTCACAAAACGTTTTAGCGCAAGTCGTCTACACTTAAAAGCCTAGGTAGGGATATTGCCAGACATCCCTCACATCGTCAAATCATCCAAAAACTATCAACCACACTCCATTGCAACTTATACTCTGATACCTACCATTGACACATCCTCCAATCCATCCACACAACATCGTAAGTCCTCTACCCCTCCCGTGAATCTGGATTCCAACTTAGAACCGGTTGCTTCGCAGAGCAAAAATGTCCGCCCAAAACTCCGGCCGTCAGTCCCCTCCTCCTGAAACCCAGTCCGGCGCCCAGCAGCAGGATCCCCCTCGGCGGGAAAGACCCAGCCCGAGCTTCGTGGCGACCCGCAGCATTCGCAGCGTGAGTCGAACGAGACTAAGGAGTCGAAGCTGGAGAGTAACCCCAAGCATCCGCTCGAGGATATTGAGGCGGCAAAGTACTCGAAGGTACATTGATTGCGCGGAAGGGGAGATTTGATTTTTATGATGTATTTCTAGACCCCACTTGATGTGTGAATGAAACCTACGATTATTGAACAAGTATTCTCCTTTCGTTCTCCTCCTGGGAGGTCGATGATGAAAAGTTTTCAAGGGGTGTTAAGTACAGGAGAGAGGTTCCTTTGGTAGTGACTGCGATTACAAAACTCTTCTGTGAATTACTTCTCATGAATTGCCGTGAAACACCAGATACTGGGGAATTTCAATAAGAACAAACAATCGGCTTGCGAGCAATACATAAATAAATCATAATCTGCTTAATCACTAATCCCTAATCACGCCTTGGGCTCAGCGGGGGGTGCAGCACCCGCCGGTTGCGATGTCGGCGCAGCGCTAGGAGTAACGTTGGCAGCCTCTGCACCGGCCGCAGCAGGAGCATCCTCTGTCTGCTTTCCGCTCTGCAAGTCTGCGAGTCTGCGGGCCTCGTTATGGATGTCGCGAACCTGCTTGTCAGTCTGCACGTAGAAATCGCGGAGCTTCCTGCCAGATGGGGTACCCAAAGCCTTCTCGAAGTACGAGTTGAGACCGCGCCAGCCACTGGCTGCCTTGTCGGTAATCTTGTAGCTTTCGTCAATCCCCTTGGCACGATCGGTAGCATGGTACTTCTGGTCGAAGTTGGTCAAGGCCGATGTGAAGCGGGAGGAGAAGCCGTGCTTCTTGTCCAGGGCGATAGCCTTTTGGATGGCGTTGTCGCTGATCACGTAGCCGTGGGCAAGGTACTCTGCGACAATCCGGGACTTGGGCTTGTCTTCCTGCTCGAGGTCCTGGCCGTTCTCATCCTTGGCCTCTCCGGGGGTGGCCGCATGTTCTCCAGCGATCTCGTCAAGGGAGTGAGCGGCGGTGACATGCACTGTGGAGGGACCCAATTGGGTTTGATCCAGGAGCAAGGCGGTCTTTGCTGCTCTAGAAGAACGTTAATTCAGGTTCCAGTTTCATTTTAAAAAATAAAAGAATAGAAAAGAATGTGTGGCATGACCAAGTTTCGATGGCGTGGACAGTGCGGGGTAGGCTTACGCTTCTTTCTCAAACGTCACCGTTGCGGACTTGGTCGCATCCTTCTCACCAGAAACAGGAGTCACAGAGATCGAAGTAATCTTTCCACTATTAGTAGAGAGAATATTAGCAACCTAATCAAGAGGTTCCTGAGCGACTGCCATACCAGAAGCTGAAGAAGTCCTTGACCTCCTTATCAGTGGTGGCGGATGAGATTCCCGACACATGGACAGTGCTGCGTTCCGACATTTTGATTGAGTAATAGTTCGAGATGGATATGAAAGTATGTGCTTGAGTAGATATGGATTCGCAATTTCTCACAGAAAGCTGTAGGATGATCGAATGTGAAATATAAGAGGATGACAACAGGTGTATTTATTTTGGCGTGCAGCCTAGCCCATCATTGCGCCACATATGACGTTGTGAGGGGTTGCGTGCACCGCCACTGTGGAGTAGCTTTTGGTCGCACATGTGAAAGACGTCGAGTTTGACAGTCGATAAAAATAGATGGCTAATATGCAATTGTCAATTATTGTCCAGTAAAGTCGGCAGAATTAAATAGAAAACTAAATGGATGGAGAGTCAGATGGTTGTGAGTTCAACATCCATTGATATATTGGCTATCCAAGATGCATCCTAGCTAATCCTAAAGGCTAATCAAGGACAATCCTTCCCGTCGTCCCTCGAGGAAATGGACAGTTTTCCCAATTTCGATGTGGCCTCGTCGTCGTTTGTTGGCTGTTCTGGAGAGGTGACTTCGCGTTCTCGGTATTTCTTAACAACAAGCTCGAGGTCCCGTACGCGACGACGCAGAGCCTCGTTTTCTCGCTTCATGGCTTCCAACTCTCCTCGCTGGACCAGTATTTCCTGGCGAGGCGGATTTCCAGAAGCTGGCACTTGTTGCGGGGAGAAAGATCTCTGACGGGCATTCTGAGGTCCGGTCACGTTGCTTGGCACATTCTCGCCTTGTTGTTGTGGCTGCGGTTGTATCAATGCAGCCAAGGATGGCAGGACTTGATCCGGCTGCCGCGATGTGGTCGACAAGGCACGAGCGGGCTTTGAAGGGTCATTTGGGCGTGCCGATGGGAATGACAAACTGGGCTCCCGAGATCGTGCAATTGCGGGCCCATTTCCTGTTCTCGATCCTTGAACTACTGGGACATAAGACGAGCTTAGACTCGATGAGGAGCGATGTCGCCGCGACGCCGTTGGATGTGCTGAGCTAACTAAGTACGGTGTACTATGATATCCATCCAATGAGTCATTGAGCGTGGTGGAAGTGGAGGAGGTGGTCGATGCAACAGAGGCGGTTTGCTGGCGTAGCATAGACAGCTCTCTGGAAAGCCGGTTTACCTGCCAACAAGCCCATGGTGTCAGAAAGTTGCAGCGTTGTTTTGAGAACGTCTGTACTTTACCATCGCTTCTTGCTCTCGCTCAACCAAGGAGTGGAGATCGGATGGCGTAAGGGGCTTTGGATGTCGCAGCGGAGCTTGCCTATTCTCAGTGTGATGCTTTCTTTGGAACAGGTCCAGCCGGTTTCTTACGTGACACTACTCCTGCACCACCGCTTTCTCCCGCCCCTGGCATTGAGCTTCCTTCATAAGTTGTCTGGGGAAGAGAGATGCCGGGGGTGCCCATTCCCTGCGATGGCCGTCGAAAGATGACGGCCGGAGTTGTGGACGGCTGCATTGCAGTTGCGGCACGGCGGCGAGAAGTTGGGGAAGAGGTGGGAACAAGACTCGGGTCTGCAGCCATCCTTGTTTCCTGGACACATGTATCTCTAATGAAGTACTGTCAGTTGAAGCGGAGAGCTTTGGAACTATATAGAGGCGGCAAGTCGCAGTAATAACCGAGACCTCTGCAGAAAAGAGCTGCTCTGAGAACAGTAAACTGGAAGAACGAAGATGGAGGGTCAAGAGGGGCTTCGAAGCGAGGACGCTGAAAGCCTGGAAGCAAGGCAACCCCTTGATTGAAATTCCAGAAGAATGAGCTCAAAACATACCAGATATGGTGGGAGTCGCCAATTTTGCCTGCAAATCTGTGGAGCTTCATAAGTCATTGATGATAAAGGGTGTCCATCCACATTCGGAGTTAATCAGCATTCATAGACTGCATTCTGCAGGTCAATGCGGTCAGCTTCACAGTGGTACCCGTACTTGATGTCTGGAGCGGCTACAAAGAGACGGCTAGGTCTCAAACAGTGATAGGATCTGTGATCATCGAAAAAGAGACGATGTGGACATTGCAAGTAGACCAGTATGCCAACTTTCTCCGGGAATCTAAACGCTGTGCCTAGCCAGTCGAAGCGAGAAGACATAGTTGAGGTGTCATCTCCCATTGTATCCTTGTCAGATCGTTGTACATTCCGAAGTGCTCGAAGAAAACTGTTCGTCAGCATTATGACGTCTCATTTAGTTACCAGACATGATATGGTCAGAAGCTTCCTGCTGAGAGTGATTGTCTGACTTCAGCCATGGATTTTGAACCATTTTGACCAATCTGTCGACATAATATATTCCCCGCCTCTATGTATACAATGCGCCAAGATAGTTGGGACACATGAGTGATTATAGACGGTCTGAGTCCTTCGCAACCTCTCCACACTTAGGGAAGATCTCATTTTGAATCTGTGGACGCATCTGATTGTTTAGATGGGCTATGAGGGTAGATAATTGGATATATCCCTTACTTCTGTGGTCTATATACCTGGGACGGAGGAGTGCACTGTCCATACAATCAGCTACAGATGATTGTGCTCAAACGAGGAAAATCAGTATAGACCATATCGCAAAGAGTGTGAAATATTATACTTATAGATCAATTAAAGTCCCTTCTCAAGTTCCCATGTCTCATAAGCAGCGAGGAGAGCTTCTGCTCGCAGATAATTGAGGTAGTTAAACAGTATGTATCTGCTTACGTAAAACGATCTACAACCTCCAGCAACAACAAAACAAACAACAATTGAAGATGCGAGTAATTGGACAGGAAACAGGTAAGTCAGAAGATCGCAAGGAGGATCGGCTTTGATATCCAACAATCCATGGAAATTCTAGGTTGATGTCAGAGTCCGCCTGTAGCTCCTGAGCGAATCACTCGTCATGGCTGATCGACCTGAAGCTGGTATCCCGACCGATGTTCCTCCTTTTGCCAGGCCGTTGGCTCCCTACATCAGAACTCGCCAGGAAGCGCTCCGCATCCGACAGGCTTTGACCTACTACCTTCGTTCGCAAATAGATTTCGCAGAGGATGACTCCGAAAATCCCAATTGTCATTCCCAATCTCATCTTACCCTCTGCGTACCGCAAGATGCTGTGGTCAATGTCAAGCGAATTCCGGGAGAGTTAACCGGGCTGAGGAAGGAATACTTGCAAGCACTTCAGGCGGATCTGGCCGCGCGGAAGGAGTATCATTCATTGACTGAGAAAGTTGCGTCGGCAAAAGAGAACACAAAAGGTTTGAAGACCGAGTCTCCGTCTATCGACCACAGTTCAGAACTACAGACGTACCTCCGACTGCTTCGTGATCGCCGTCGGCATGCGAAGTTGCAGGTCTTTCAGCACTATCTACAGGAGCTCAAAGAACGAGACTCGAATATCTCCGAGCGCATCGGTGACCGAGCGAGCCAAGGCCAGCAAATCGTGTCTTTGGAGGAGACCGAGAAGGAACGCAAACTGACGGCGATGGGACGTGACGCAGACGATGGCATTGAAGGCTTGGTACATAAACTGGAAAGGGCCGTCATACGTGCCAAGGCTCAACTGGACCGAGAGAGAAGTCTGTTGGAGGGTTTGAAGTCGCAGCTCGCGCCAGACAGTACAGATGTACCACCGGCAGTCAAAGTCGCGGCACTGCAGCGGACGCGAGACGAGCTGGTGCAATGGGTTGAGGAGAAATTAGTGAGCGTGGGTAACGCCGACGATGCTCCAGTGCAGGATTTTTCGCCTGAGGAGATCGAGGAGTCCACTCAGCTTGTCGAAGACCAAAAGGCAGAAATTGCGGCGCAGTATGTTGCCTACGTGGAAGCACGTAAGCGATTGTTGGATGTTGCTTCTCGAGCCTGTCAGCCTGTGACAATGCCATCTACGAAGCCGTCACGCCAATCGGTCGACCTAGGGAAGCTGGCGATTGGGGACCGACCTTCACTGGACCCGCTGGAGGTTCTGTCTTTCACAAGCGAGAATCTTCTTCCACTATCTAAGGCCCAGCGAGCATTGGCTCTGCAGAAGAACTACTTATCGGGGTTGCTGACCAAGGAAAGGTCTGCGACTCTCCGTATTCTAAATCGCTTGAGCGATGAAAGTCACCTTCTTCCGGAGTACCCTCTCTTGACTCATCAACCCCGTTTCAAGCACATCAGTTCGAGGCATGCGCCGAGCGCGACTGGTTTGCCGAAACCCGACGAAGTTGTTACCTTGGCTGAATCATGGGCCTTCGCGTCCGAAGCGGCAGCGACGAACGAACACCAGTACGTCGAGGAGAGGCTGGTAGAGGGCCAGGAGGCGGCTGCAGACGCGGGGCATGTACTGCAGGAGGTGTACAACATGTTGAATCAGGACCTCGAGGAGACCTTCCGAGATCCGCAGTCATCCGTAGAGGACTCGAACGACATCTGGGCGTCTGAGACTCGTTCGACCTGGTCTCGCACGAGGGCAACCAGGTCACAAAAGCAACCCAGAGGTCCATGGGCCAGGCTCAATGGGCAATTGGATATCACTGAGTGATTGCATGAAGGAAGCGCTACATCCACCGGATTGCTATGTTTCCATCTGATGTATATATCTAAAGTGTTATCATGAACCTCAATTGTTTCTTAATGGCGCATTTTCTTTAGAAATAATAATATGATTTACAAATAAAGTTATAATATCGGCCCGGAAGGGTAGCACAGAAGAGCCAGTTCGGTTGGTCATCCAGCTCCTCTATCCAGGATTGGAACGTGCGGACCCTCCGATTTCCGCAATTTCATGCCAAGCTGCCAGTAGCGAGGAAGTGGACGCGAACTGGACACCAGGAACAGTATTGATCGGCCATCCATGAAAATTTTCAAGGAAGTGGTTTGTGAAGGGTAACAACAGTCAATGCAATAATAGCCTACCTTAGGTTCGCAGTACATCAATTGAGAGATAGATGGTCAGCATGTATTTCCAGAAAAAGGACCCTGTCGTTATCGTGGACAAGGAATTGAACCAATTCACCCTGCAGTAGTCAGTATTCTAGAGTCTGGATGCAGGACAATGACTCTATGAATAATGAGACAATGACGATCCGGCATCCACCAGACCTGTGGAGAGGATTCGGCCCTAGGGTGATGATGGGACTTGATAGTGCGCACAGCGAGACTACACAAGGCTCCTACTTGAGCCAGCCACCAGAAGGGAAATACCAATTGGGATCGTCCTTTAAGGTAGGTAAGTTACTCTTCAACACTAAGAGTCTGGTGGGAACGGCAATTCCAAAAAGAGAGTTACTGAATGGTCAGAAACAAGTCAATGTCATTAGTGGCGTTTGTGATAGATCCATAGTGATTTAGGATTTAGCAATTGATTTGGAGTGATTCCCCAAGTCTGGCTGAGTCCTTGAGGGCTCAATGATACTACCAATCTACGTACCACCACTGAGGAAACACGGAAAGGCCTAGGGTGGGAACTGCGATGATGGTCTCTATGCGCAAACAGTCCCACCGCATCCACTGAGCCATAGTTTGATTGGTGGTAATCGTAGGCGGTGAGCACCAAATCGGCAAATTGGCAGGGCAACAGCCAACGGGAGGAAAATCGCAGAGGACCAGGGTAAAAAAAAGTGAAAAAAAAGGCCTCCGCACACCGGAGCTCTTATCATTAGTCCCAGGAAATACTCTGGTATTTGTACCTTTTTTGGCGGGAGATTCTGGTCAATCCTCTGGGACCGATTCCGATTCTCTGTCCGTCTCCAGAAAACCGCATTGACTCATACCTACCCTACTCCTCTACGAGTCATCCATTTATCTCCCTCCGTATTCTGTTCTCTCCTCTCTTCTCCTTGTTTCTCCAATTCCTCCCAGATTGCTTCCTGTACGTCAGGCCCAAGGCCATCACTTCTTCCTATTCCTCTTTAGTCCTCCCCTGTCTATTGGGTGTGTGACAGAAAGCGGGAGAGTAGGGATTACAGAATAAGAGTCATCGCCTTGGTGGTCAATTGACTCGCTTATTGCACTAAATAGTCTTCTATATCTATTATCTTTCCCTTAGCGCAGTGCGCAATGGTCCTCGCCGCTCGTTGCGGGCAGGCTACGTCCTCCCTTCTGCGTCAGCGATGTCTGACTGAAACCCGTCGTTCCGCTTTCGTTTTGCGCCCCTTCTCCGCTCAGACTACGGCCCGGTCGACGGCGTTGAGTCTGCGATTGCAGCAAAAGGTTGCCTCGCCATTGCGATCCCAGCAGCTCCGTTCCTTCTCCAGTGCCCTTCGTCGCTTGGCCTCGCAGGCAAACAATCCGCCCTCTGCCGACAGCTACCTCGCCAGCGGAGTTGTCAAGCCCGGTAGCAATCTGGTTGATGTCAAGAAGGTCCTTGTCATCGGTAGTGGTGGTTTGGCTATTGGACAGGCTGGAGAGTTCGACTATTCTGGTAGGTCACGCGACTCGCAATTCACTTGGCTCGCATTGCAACTTGGCTCGTATTTCTGCGCGTGGCTTCCAAAAGCAGCGTCGATGTGCATTCCGCTGCAAAGGAAATGCCATCATGGACCGGAAGGAAAGAGGAAGAAACAAAAGGGCCAGCAAAGCTGTTTAGCAATGAGAATTCAGGTGACTAACATTGCATTCTTCAAATTACAGGCTCTCAGGCTCTCAAGGCTCTCAAGGAAGCCGGTGTTAAGTCGGTCTTGATCAACCCCAACATCGCGACTATCCAAACCGATCACAAACTCGCCGATGAAGTGTACTATCTCCCCGTTACCCCCGAATATGTGACTCACGTCATTGAGCGAGAACGCCCCGACGGCATTTTCCTTTCGTTCGGTGGTCAGACCGCCCTGAACCTTGGTGTGCAGATGAATCGCATGGGCATCTTTGAGCGCTACGGTGTCAGAGTTCTCGGAACAAGCGTCAAGACCCTCGAGACTAGTGAGGACCGTGACCTGTTCGCCCAGGCTCTGAAGGAGATCAACATCCCCATTGCTGAGTCCATCGCCGTCAACACTGTTGACGAGGCTCTGAAGGCCGCTGAAACAGTTGGCTACCCTATCATTGTCCGTTCGGCTTACGCTCTCGGAGGTCTGGGCTCCGGTTTCGCTGAGAACCCTGAGGAGCTGAAGAATTTGGCTTCTCGTTCCCTGACTCTTGCTCCCCAGATCCTGGTCGAGAAGTCCCTCAAGGGCTGGAAGGAGGTCGAGTACGAAGTCGTCCGTGATGCCGCTAACAACTGTATCACTGTCTGCAACATGGAGAACTTCGACCCTCTGGGTATCCATACCGGCGACAGTATCGTCGTTGCTCCCAGTCAGACCCTTTCTGACGAAGAGTACCACATGCTCCGTACCGCGGCCATCAAGATCGTCCGCCACCTGGGTGTCGTTGGTGAGTGTAACGTGCAGTACGCTCTGCAGCCTGATGGACTTGACTACCGTGTCATTGAGGTCAATGCCCGTCTCTCTCGTTCGTCTGCTCTGGCCTCCAAGGCTACTGGTTACCCTCTTGCCTACACTGCTGCGAAGATCGGTCTGGGCCACACTCTTCCTGAGCTTCCCAATGCCGTCACCAAGACCACTACCGCCAACTTCGAGCCTAGTCTGGATTACATTGTCACCAAGATTCCCCGGTGGGATCTGAGCAAGTTCCAGCACGTCAAGCGCGACATTGGCAGTGCCATGAAGTCTGTCGGTGAGGTTATGGCCATCGGTCGTACCTTTGAGGAGTCGTTCCAGAAGGCCATCCGCCAGGTTGATCCTCGCTTCATCGGTTTCCAGGGTGACAAGTTTGAGAACCTGGATGAGGTTTTGAAGAACCCCACAGACCGCCGCTGGTTGGCCGTTGGTCAGGCTATGCTTCACGAGAACTATTCCGTTGACAAGGTCCACGAGCTGACCAAGATCGACAAGTGGTTCCTCTACAAGCTCCAGAACATTGTTGATTGCAACAATGAACTCAAGGAGATCGGCAGCCTGTTTGGCATCCAGAAGGAGATGATGCTGAAGGCCAAGAAGCTTGGTTTCTCTGATAAGCAGATCGCTCTCCTCGTCGGTTCCACGGAAGACGATGTCCGCGCTCGCCGAAAGAGCTTCGGCATCAGACCCTGGGTCAAGAAGATCGATACTCTGGCCGCTGAGTTCCCTGCTGATACCAACTACCTCTACACCACATACAACGCTACGTCCCACGATGTCACCTTCGATGACCACGGTATCATCATTCTCGGAAGCGGTGTCTACCGTATTGGAAGCTCTGTCGAGTTCGATTGGTGTGCGGTCAACGCCACCCTCTCCCTGAGGAACATGGGCAAGAAGACTGTCATGATCAACTACAACCCCGAGACATACTCCACTGACTTCGACACTGCTGACAAGCTCTACTTTGAGGAACTCAGCTACGAGCGTGTCATGGATATCTACGAGCTCGAGAGCGCCAGCGGTGTTGTCGTGTCCGTCGGTGGTCAGCTGCCCCAGAACATCGCCCTCCGCTTGCAGGAGACTGGCGGTGCCCACGTTCTTGGTACCGATCCTCAGGACATTGACAAGGCTGAGGACAGACACAAGTTCTCTCAGATCCTGGACAGCATCGGTGTTGATCAGCCTGCTTGGAAGGAGCTCACGTCGGTTGCCGAGGCTGAGCGCTTCGCCGAGTCTGTCGGTTACCCCGTCTTGGTCCGCCCCAGTTACGTCTTGTCTGGTGCTGCCATGAGCGTCATCTACAGCGGTGACGAACTCAAGGAGAAGCTCCTCAACGCCAGTGCTGTCTCTCCCGACCACCCCGTCGTCATCACCAAGTTTATTGAGGGCGCTCAGGAAATCGATATCGATGCTGTTGCCAACAACGGCAAGCTCCTGCTGCACGCCGTCAGTGAGCACGTTGAGCCCGCTGGTGTGCACTCTGGTGATGCTACTCTGGTCCTGCCTCCTGCTTCTCTGGACGAGAAGGTCATGGGCCGTGTCAAGGAGATCGCTGAGAAGGTCGCCAAGGCCTGGAACATCACCGGTCCCTTCAACATGCAGATCATCAAGGCCGATCAGGAAGGTGCTGAGCCCCAGCTGAAGGTCATCGAGTGCAACCTTCGTGCCTCTCGTTCCTTCCCCTTCGTCAGCAAGGTCCTGGGAACCAACTTCATCGACGTTGCTACTAAGGCTCTTGTTGGCCGCGATGTCCCCGAGCCCGTCGATCTCATGACCGAGAAGCGTGACTACCTCGCTACCAAGGTGCCCCAGTTCAGCTGGACTCGTCTTGCCGGTGCCGATCCTTTCCTCGGTGTCGAGATGGCCAGTACCGGTGAGATTGCTTGCTTCGGCAAGGATCTGGTTGAGGCCTACTGGGCTTCTCTCCAGTCCACTATGAACTTCCGCGTGCCCGAGCCCGGCGAGGGTATCCTGCTCGGCGGTGACATCAACAACCCTGCTTTGGCTCAGATTGTTGACTACCTCAACCCTCTCGGCTACAAGTTCTTCGCTGCTAGCCCTGAGGTCCAGGCTCACCTCCAGTCCGCTACCAAGGACAAGGTCTCCGTGCAGGTGATCGAGTTCCCCAAGGAGGACAAGAGAGCCCTCCGTGAGGTGTTCCAGAAGTATGACATTCGCGGTTGCTTCAACCTTGCCAAGACCCGTGGCAAGACCCTCCTGGACGAGGACTATGTTATGAGACGTAACGCGGTCGACTTCGGTGTTCCTCTCTTCATGGAGACCAAGGTATGTAGCAGTCCATTTCCTTTAACCATGTACGCGGGTCACGTTTACTAATCATTTATACCAGACCGCTCTTCTCTTCGCTCAGGCCATGAACGCTAAACTGCCCCGTCCCGACGGCATCCCCCCTGAGGTCCGCAGCTGGTCAGAGTTCACTGGCCACAGGCTGATGTAAATCCGAATATCGACGATCTCATCAAAACTATGAAAAAAGGGGAAAAAGTCATGTTCTATTCATAGATCTAATCGGTTTGGCTTATGTTCTCTTTTCAGGCAAACAAAAAGCCCGTCCTGTTTGGCGTAGAGGATCCGGCTTCGTGTTGATAGAATTTGTGGTCTTGGTCTGGACTTGGTATGAGGATCATGGCCATGCTGCGGTGTTCCATATTCTCTTTCTTCGGCTTTGTTATATTTACATGGTTTTTGAGTAGGCAGGCCATGTGCTTGAGCGAAAAGAATCTGATTTGTATTTTACTTTCATTCGTTACCTAGCTTGATCAGCCTGTAAGTGATGATTCAAGATGTATGGTATGTATTCTCTAAGTATTTCGGCTATCTCACTCAATACCAACACTTCAGCACCAATGAGAACACGTGATACCGGTTCCGGTTGATTCTGTTTTGCTGATATTTGCCCTGTTTCTCACAATCTACAAGGTCGGCACACATTTTCAGAGCATCACCGAATAGAAACCTCAAAAATTGGATGCTGAGAAAGGATCCTCGATTGAAATGGTCTACGGAGTAGCCTACCAAAGCTAGAGTTCTCGCCAAATCATATGACCTACTATCATAATGGCCTCTTGATCTCAAAATCAACGGAGTAAAGTCTGAGTAACTGGAGCTATCCACAACTTGTCATGAACATCAGACGACCTAGAAATGGCATCTATAACGGACTTACAGCGGAGCAGCGGCAAAGTCCCTGAAGACATCCTAAACGAGGATATTCTCGCGCGTCTACTCGACCAAACCATCACCAGCACGGATCCCAACCAGGACAATGAGAACATCACGGACGGGGGATTCCAGAACCCTATTCCTCCAGTCTACACCAGAGGCTATCCTGCCCCGTCGCCGGGCGCCGGGACAGGGATTTTTTCTGGGACGGATATCCCGGTCGGAGGGACCGTCATGCTCATCCAGAGGCCGTTCGTGGCAGTCTTGGATACTGAGCGGTTGCAGGATACCTGCTCCGGATGCCTTGGGCAGCATCATTACAACAGAGATGCCAACGTCGAGTTGAAGGCTTGTACGGGGTGTCGGGTTGTGAAGTATTGTAATAAGGTTAGCTGAAACCTACCACCTATCTTCCTGCTGAGCTCGCGTCTCACTAACTGGACGACGTAGACCTGCCAAGCGAAAGACTGGAAGTTCGCTCACTCGTTCGAATGTCGGATTTTCAAGGAGTTGATGCCCAGAGTACTTCCCAGCAATGCCAGGGCTATTCTCCGGATGGTCCTGCGTAGTGAGCGCGGCAAATATCCAAAGGAGGAGCTGGAGCTCTTCCGCAAACTGGAGAGTCATATGGACGAGATCCAAGCGCAGAACTGGGAACAGTGGCAGCGGATATCTCTGACGGCGAAGGCCGTGAAGAAGTACTCTGGATGCGCTATGGATGAAGAAATGATATGTCACTACGGTGCCAAGGTGAGTTAAGCTGCGCCTTTCTCTCTCTTTTTCTGTAGCAGTGTTCTGACGAGCTGACTTGACTACGTTTCAAAGCTGGAATTAAATTCGTACAACTTCCACAGTCCCTTGGCTGATCGTCTGGGATTCTACCTGCACCCATACGCGGCTCTAATCAACCACAGCTGCGACTACAATTCCGTCGTCGGCTCAGACGGCGACGCCCTCTACGTGAAAGCTCTTCGCCCAATCCAAAAAGGCGAAGAGATACTCGTATCGTACATCGACGCCACAAACCCGTACAAAACCCGCCAGAACGAGCTCTCGGAGCGATACTACTTCAAATGCCGATGTCCCAAGTGCGGAAAAGGCACAAGCACACGCGAAGACCGCTTCCTCGGGCAACCGCACGACGTCTCTGTCCCGGAAGACGCCGAGAGCGCCGCAATGAATGTGTTAAACCGGGTCGGTAGTTCACGGTTGAGCCCATCAGAGGCCGCCGATGAGATCAAACGAGCCATGAAGGCCCTACACAGGACCGCTGCGTGGCCGATTACCCGGCAGCCGATGGTCGCCCTGCGAGACGAGCTGATCACCTGTCTTCTTTCAGAGGACGAACCCTACGAGGCATTCGTGCACGCTGCGGTCCGCTTCCGGCTTGTTGATCCCGTTGTGTATCCTGAACCGGGGCATCCGACTCGGCAGATGCATGCGTGGGTATTTGCGATGCTCGCCAATGAGCTGATGATGCAGGGGGTGCCGGCGTTACGCGGGAAGAAGGATTCATCTGCCGTGTGCGCGGCTATCTGGCAGTCTGTTCTCTTCTATCTCATGAATGAACTCGAAATGAGTTCTGCTGTGCCGACGCTGAAGAAAATAATCAGGAGGGCGTTCGCCGAGGGGCCGGTGCAGATGTATAACCATGGCTTGAGACGGAGTCCTGGCGAGTTGATCCATTCCATGCGGAGAGCGTGGAGCGAGCTTGATGAAATCATTAATGAGGCATTGGAGAAGGAGAAGGCTTGATTCATGAAAACCGATGGCTTGCGATGAATCTAGTAGTGCTGTGCGTTTTGGGTCAGGATCCGTCCCAAGCTCTACAGTCGAAGGTGAAATAAATAGATGCTTGAGGATCCTTTATATTCCCTCAAAATCGTTAAGACAATAGCAAAAGGGAAGTAGGCCAGTTGGACAAATCAATAACAATTACCAGGTACTGCAGTAAACTACTATGCGAATGTCTACAAAACTGGTAACGGCGTACCTACAGATACAGACGTATGAATTCGACTTCGTAAATTATACTTCCATTCCTAACTATCCTCAGTGAAAGGAACAGGTGAAAGTCTCCCGCCTGCGCCGACGCAGAACGGAGGGGCAAAACTTCATCATCATAAGATTGACGATCCCGCTTGGTCTTTGGTTCGTTCGTGTTTCATGGCGACAAGATCTTTATATTGAGATGCAAACAGCTGACCCGCACTTGACATACAAGTTTGATGAATCCCAATGGACGCAAATGGTATCCATCCCTTTTTTGTTCTCCCAGCACATCCGTACGCCCGATCCTCCACGCAACACTCCAGAAAGCTTTTCTTCTTTACTTGAGGGGAATGAAACGAGAAGAGTGGGTGGCACCGATACCGGGACGACCGTGCTTGACGGGCTTGCTGTATGGTTGTTAGAATTGTGTAAAATATCGCAAGGGGGACGCAAGGGAACATACTATGTAATGGAGAATTCACCAAGGTAGTGGCCAACCATCTCGGGCTTGACCTCAATCTGGTTGAACTCCTTTCCGGAGTAGATACCGATGACGCTGCCGATCATCTCGGGGACAATGATCATGTCACGCAGGTGGGTCTTGACGAGGTCGGGCTTCTCGTTGGGCTTGGCCTCCTGCTTGGCCTTGCGGAGCTTCTTGATCAGGCCCATGGGCTTGCGCTTAAGACCACGGTTGAACCTGCGGCGGGCGCGGGCGTGCACGACATCGCGGAGCTGTTCGGAGGAGAGGTCGAGGAGCCTGTAGCACATTCCATGTCAGAAAACGGTTCGTTCATGGGTTCTCCAATCTGTCCCTGTATCTCAACTCCAGACTCCGACAAGGATGACCCATGCAAAGATGGTACAATTGATGGCCTCGCTCGTTCGGAGTCGGATAGTTGGCCGGTGACAGGGGTCCTTGGATGGGAGATTGCTGGACATACTGGTCGAGGTCAATTCCGCGGTAGGTGAACTTGCGGAATTGTCTTCTCTTCTTGATCTCTGTTCGGCGAAAAGCGTCTGTCAGCGTGTCTATCCTAACCCTGGTGTGTGGTTGTCCGTGTTGTCCGTAGCCGTATCCCTCCTGTCGCTCTTATGCACCAAGTCCATCTCGATTCATCAATTTTTCGCAGTATTCCATCACGACACAGCCCACAACACTCCGCGCTCTTCTGTAGTAGGATAGGGATTGGAAGAAAGGGTGTCCTGCGACAACGTACCGGCAGCCTCCTCGGCGTTCTGCAAGCAAAGATTTCACATTAGCTTCCCTTGAACCAAGTACCAAAAACCATTTATATCCTGGACTATCACTCACGTATTCGGTGTCAGCCATCTTTGCGAATGTTCCTCTCAAGGTCGCTTTCCGAACGTTACTCGAAAAGCGAAGGGAATATGGTTGTCGTGTCGTGTCTTGTCGCTGAAGGACCTTCGTCGGGGCTAGTCTTGTGCCTACGCTTCAGGTTGCGAGGTGGGCTGGAGGGCTCGTCTAAGCGACCGCACTAGGTCAAACCCTAAGCCACTAGTACTGATTGGGTTCCCATCAGTCTCCGCTCTCGGCCTGGTTTTTCAGGCATCTAGATCATTACATGATAACATTCAGACTTGCTTATTGGACTCGAGATGCATGATTAACACGTTGATATTCGAGAATTTTGTTGCGAGGTTGCGCTTTTAGACAATAGGATATTGTGACTCGCGTTCAATTATTTTTCTCCCGCTACACTCACACGTACTTATACGCTTCGATATCTTGAGCTTACATGGACAAGTCTACGTCGAACATGAACGTGAATTAGTAGAGGGTCACATAATCTGTATTGGCCTAAAAGCTCTTTCCAGCTCTTATATGCATGCTCGTAACTGCATCCGAAAAGCCTGAAGGCATACAGACTGATCGGCACCAATGGGCGAGTTTACTCCCCATACTGAAAATAACCGCCAGATTTCTGTTCCCCCACCAAATCTCATGATTTTTGCTGCGCTTGTATATATGAACGCGCTTAGTCGAAGAGACCGAAGCCCATGTCCTCATCGGACTCCTCCTTCTCCTCCTCCTTCTCCTCAGCGGCAGGAGCAGCAGCACCACCGGCAGCGGCACCGCCAGCGGCAGGAGCAGCGGCGGCAGCACCACCGGAGGGAACGGAAGCGAGCTTGGCGGAACCCTCAGCAATGAGCTGTTGTAGAGTGCGATGTCAGCGACAGTCCAAGATTCTCGGCCTGTAATCTTCGAGCGGTGTGTACTAACCTCCTGGAGGTCCTTGCCCTCGAGCTCAGCAATGAGCTTGTTCAGGCGCTCCTCATCGGCGTCAATGCCAACGGAAGAGAGGACGGCCTTGACATCCTCAGCGGAGGGGGAGGTGTTGCCAGCAAGGGCGAGGAGGAGGTAAGCGGCGAGGTGCTTCATTTTGAATCTGCGACGGAAATCCGCTGTTAGAGCACGGGTTGAGATGCGACAATTGTAATGCCGATAGAATATCTACCAGGCCGAGAGCACGTACTGATGTTATCGAGATATATCGAACACGAGAATCAATCGATTTAACCGCAAGTTGGGCGGAGACTGAGACGTCGAGTTCGCTGGGAGATTTAGCGAAGTGGTTAGAGAAAGTAAGAATTAGAGAATTGAACCATCAAAATATCGAGAAAAGTGCGGTGCGGCTGGTGGGTGTGGCTAGTGCAATCAGAATCCTTTAAGCTAAGCGAGGGTCTGTGGCGCATATGTATCCAATTAAACTTCCCAAGTGACTGAGACGTCCACGTGACTAGCTGCTTCTAGAAGAACAGGATGGCGTCTGGCAGCAACGTTACGGCTCTTCCTTTGCTGTCTCGTTCAGACGCCATCACTATGTGCTAGGTCTTGCATCGGCAACAGGGGGGTAAATTACGCACATTCATTCCTTGAGCCCTCTTCTTTTTCTCAATCTCGCAGCTCATGAAGTCATGAGGTTAACCCGTCAAACTAACCACCGACGGTGAACCTACCCTTATCAGTGCTCCTATCTCGTTATCCAGAGACTCAGCTGCTGAAGCTCGTCCGTGTACCTCAGCGGTCACCATGAGTGTCAGTCTTCTTCCACGTTGTAGTATCTGACATGTCTAACACTTGACAGTTTCTTGACTCCGTTCTCTCGTCTATTGAGACGGGTAGACCAGCTCCCATCGCTCCTCCCCGTCCAGTTCGGACGCCCGCGCCACCCGTGTCGTCCTCAAATGTTAGATCTCAAGCACACAAGCCTACCAATGGACATGGTAGCAATGCTACAGGGCAGGGGAATGTTGCTGCGGGGGTGAAAAGGAAAGCAGAGGATCAGTTGCGTCGACCCCAGAAGCCTGACTCTGAAGCATCGACCAAGCCAACGGCAAACAAACCTCCTAATGCTTCTATTGCTTCAAAGTCTCGCCCCGTCGCCACTTCGTCTTCCATCAAGTCTACGAACGGAAATACTGCAACCGCTACTCAGAAACCGCCTCAGATCTCCTCGAAGCCCCCTCCTAAAGGATCGTATGCTGATCTCATGATGAAAGCGAAGGAACTACAGACGAAAGCTCCAACTCAAGTGGGCATGTTCAAACATCAACCGGTAGCCAAGGAGAAGCTCAGCAAAGCGGAACGCAAAAGACGAGCAATGGAGGCACAGACAAAAGAGAAAGATTCACGGCTGGCCAAGAAGCCCGGCACTGTTTCTGGCGGAGCAACCGGAATCAAGTCTGGTGATGGGAAACTTTCCAGAAAACGGGAACACGAGGAATTAACCTACAAGGGCACAGCAAGACCGTTGCAGACCCCAACGCAGCTGGAGTACCGGGGAACAGCCGGCTTGCCAAGTCGACGCAGCTCACAAGAACCGAAAGCACAGTCTCGGGCTAGTAAGCGCGCTAGAATGAATGAGTATCTGGCAACAGATGAAGAAGACGAAGGGGACGATTACGATGACTACTACTCCGCATCATCCGACATGGAAGCTGGCTACGATGATGTAGCGGAGGAAGAAGCTGCTGCATTAGCAGCTGCAAGGAAAGAGGACGAGGAGGAATTGCGCGCTGAGCTTGCAGCCAAGCAGGAAAAGCTTGAACGACGGAAGAAACTCGCAGCATTGGTTGCTAAGAGTCGATCTTGAGCTCAGCCGTTACCTTCATTCGGCGATCCATTACTTTTGAAAAGCAAATTTCCTAATCATATGCGTACGGAGCATCAGCGAGGAATACCCCGTGGCTACATTATACATACGAACCATATTGTTTCCTTTGTGCATATTCACTAGTCCCTCACTCCTGGCCTAGTCTCTTCTTTTGTCACTTTTGATTTTATCATGGCGTTCAATATATTTGTGTTCTACTTGGCATCAGCGAGCGAGCGTCAGGGTGTCGATAGAAGGTGGGTTACTCGTCTATTTCTTACTAGCTGGTTCGATCTACCTGGTTTATGCGGTTTACTTGCAGAGAGCGGGCGTCATTCTTACATATTTATCCTCCCTTTTTCTGTTCCCTGCTAGATAGATAAGACATGACATTTACTGTGGTCCATGGCCGAATGAAACCGATTTATCAACCGTTGTACTGGGTGTTTGGAGCTGCTGGTTGCCCCACTTGATAGGCGGTGACATCACCGGCCCCATTCCGGCTTGCCTCCATATTAAAGTATCACTTAGATAGTCCATAGCTCCTTCTCACCCGAAAGAGGAGTTCATCGTCCTTGGATTCATCTATAGATCATTCCTTGGGATTTCGCAACAGACTCGAACATGGAACCGGTACATGTATCGACCTCCACGAAGGTCCTGTTCAAAAAAGTGCGCAAGATTGTGCCTCCTCTGCTAGAGAAGTTCCACAAAGGTATGCTCAATTGGGTTAAGAATTCACAGAATCCTTTCTCTTAGAAGAACATTGACTGACGAGAAAAGGCCAACATGGACGCGTGGCTGTCATTGGAGGCTCTCTAGAGTATGTCGAATGGCTCCCTATGCAACTGTTTGAGTGCAATTATTCATAATCATACAGCTACACAGGAGCTCCATACTTCTCTTCAATGGCATCAGCTCGATTAGGTATGTCAGCAAAGTAGTATAGCTGACCACTTGGTATCGGTTGACTAACTATGATGCAGGATGTGACATGGTTAGTTGAACGAATTTTTGCTGCGGCTCCAGTATGATGATTTCTAACCAAGTATAGAGCCATGTCATCTGTGAGAAATCTGCAGCTACGGTTTGTAACCACTCAAGTCGTAGTAAATCTTAAATGTCCAGACTGACGTAGCTTGCCAGGTTATCAAGTCCTACTCCCCGAATCTGATGGTACATCCATTGCTTCCGAGCACCGACTCGGTTAGCAACCCTGGTAGCATTGATGCTCCCGCACTTGCCAGCCCTATTGTTTCCATGCTATCTCGGCTGCATGCGTTAGTAATTGGTCCGGGCCTAGGCCGTGATGGAGTGACTCTCAAAGTGGTCACCGAAGTTATGAAAGAGGCGCGGTCCCGCTCGATACCCTTTGTTCTAGACGCTGACGGTCTGCTTCTCGTGACGGAGGATCCCGACCTGGTCAAAGGCTACAAGGACTGTATCTTGACACCCAATGTCAACGAATTCAGTCGATTGGCTAAGGCGTTGGGCGTTGAAGTTCCCAGTCAGGCGCAGATTGCCCAGACTGATGAAGGCGACAAGACCAACAAAGAATCGCAGGCTTGCGAGCAACTTTCACAGGCTTTAGGCGGTGTGACAATTATCCAAAAAGGACCGCACGATGTGATTTCAAACGGTGTGACTACTCTGATCTCGGACTTGAAAGGAGGCTTGAAGCGCAGTGGAGGACAAGGAGATACACTCACAGGATCTCTTGGTACACTGCTAGCTTGGAGGGCTGCTTACCATAACAAATTATGGGACTCCGGCGAGCAGGAGAACCCGAAAGAAGCGCAGTCTAAGCAGGATGTGTTGGCTGAGCTTGAGTCAGAGAACAAGAGAATGTCCCCGGCGACAACCCTACTACTGGTTGCATGGGCAGGCAGTGGCATCACTCGGGAATGTTCTCGACGGGCGTTCAATGCCAAAGGTAGGAGCCTGCAGGCTAGCGATCTTACCGACGAAGTTTATGAAAGCTTCCTGGAATTGATTGGGGAACCAGAGGCTTCCAGGACCCATCTGTAGGCTGTTCGCCATCTGGGACTCGTGCATATCCAACCTGCAAGTGTCGCCGGTCATGGAACCGATAACTGGCCCAAGTTTTCTTCTTCGCGATGAGAAGATCCCTTGGGGGATCAAATGACCGATAGTTTGCCACGAAGGCGGATTTCAGTTGTTGAACCTCGAATGAACTGAGCGTGATACATTGATACATAAATCTACTCTCCTTCCTATAAATAGCCAACGCTGTAGATTTCAATCGAAGAGTTCTACTTCATGCGCTTACTCGATGCATCTCTTGGATCTGACATATGAGGTGTCTGAGTTTCTTCTCTTGATCTCGCCTATAGTTGATTTCCATTCGCCAAGTTCCAGTATCATTGACGGCCTGAAAGCCTGCACATCTTTGTCCGCTATTCTAAGGTACCTTCCACCGCATCTCACCAAGTGCCGCTGGAAGTCTAACAAGAGATTTCTTATATTCTAGTGGTCATGTGTTCTATCCAATTCTACATTGACTACAAGGCGTTCTGCTGCTAAATATGGCCCGAACACTTCCAATCACAGATGACAACACACGCTGACAGGGCCATCTCGGATGAGGCTCCCTTGGACTCGATGACTGTTTCTGACGGGTATCTCTGCGTCTCATTTGCCGGGCTGGACTCGGTACGTCAGATGCATTTGCGGGGGAATATTGGCCACTCACCTCCATGTTCCAGATCTCGTATTGCTACTACCAATCCGAAGAAGCCATGACTTGACACAGGTCCAGTCAGCTTCAGCCGGGAAGATCCAAGCTATGACGGCAGTCACCTAAGCCTGTCCGCTGTGCGATTGAGAGACATGTCTCAGTGACCTCTCTTTGTTACCTTTTGCGCCTTCACCATCTTATGACGTGGATGTCGGAGAGAAGATGCCGTCTGGATGACCTGCGCAGTGTCTCACGGCCATCGATGGCCTTACTTGCAGTTGCATGTTGGTGTCCATGTATGTGTCCATGTATGGGAGACTCGATCTCCTACCGAACGATGCAAAGGTATATAAAGAGGGTGAGGATACTCGATCAACAACCCCATCTCTTCTCAAGCATCAAGGCATCTTTCCCAGAAAACAAGCATCATAGCACACTTCCAACCCTACCAAACATCCTTCAACACCATCTGAGGTACCTTTCAACCAACCCACATCTACAACCACCAACATGAAGAACCTCTCCATCCTCACCTCCCTCCTCCTCGCCTCCGCCTCCCTCGTCTTCTCCTCCAGCATCCCCCCAAAGTGCGGAACTTGCAACCCGCTCTCCGGCCAGAACCACTGCGACATTACCACCTCCTGCATCAACACAGGCACCCGCTTCCATTGCGCCTGCCGCGCCGGCTACAAGGCCTCGAAGGACAACCACGACGTCAGCAAGCAGTTCCGTCTGAATGTCCCCAACTACCAGTTCCTGGTCTTCACCCCCGAGAGCACCGAGTGCAACACCCTCTGTGACAACCCCTACGGCGCAAGCCCTGACCTGTGCGCTGAGGTTCCTATCCAAGACAAGTGTGCTATTTGATGGGGACTGTCGTGAGGCGTGCTTCTTGTGCTGAGACTGGATTATTTGCTGGGAATGAGTGTTGAGTGTTGAGTGTTCTACGACAACATTCCTTCATGAGATCTGCTTGTTCTGTACCTAATGTCATGGAAGACTCGTATATATCACTCCTTACCAATGTGAATACTGCTCTAGTCTAATCCTTGGCCTATAAACCTTGTCATATGGCTTACATTAGTGAATCAGAAGCAATTAAGCATTGTTCTTATCCCAGGAGCCTAAAATAATGTAGTATACGCCATAACACCAGTCTCCGAAATCTACCTTCGAACGTGCGTAATCCCATGCTCTTGCTCATATGAGGAACAATAACCAAGCCCTACCAAAACGACCGAACAGTGATCGAGATTAAAACCAAGGAGTTGCAGCAGACTTCAGTGATTATTTTTGCCACTCTAAACTGCAATCGTTCGCTGGTCTATTATATGTCCATTGCCTCATCACCGCCGAGGTCCAAGAAAATGAGGCGAGTTCCATTGTTAACAACTTGCCAAACCTGCAAGGGAGCAAAGATATTAGTAAGAGCCATGGGGGGGTATTCAAAGCTGACAACACGTACATTAAGCTCTTCGTATTCGTCGATCGCCATTGTGAGCTGGTCTTCTGTGAAGCCCTTGGCAAGAACGCGTTCCCTGATCCTTCTCATGCTAAGTTCACCCTCTTCACCGTCCCCAACAGCGGCAGCACCGCTCTCCCGCATACCGCGAATGAGGTTGTAGATCTTGCTGCTGGGGCTCTGGTCCACACCGGACTGACCGTCATTGGCCAGTGATTCTTTGCTGACCTCGATAAGGCGCAAAGCCTCATCGACGTCCTCCCTGATGACCTCTTCGCTGAAGCGAAGGCGGGCAAGAGCTTGCGAGAGACGAACGACACCAAGCAAAGTACGCGGAGTCACATGAGAGAATTGCTTCTTGCTGGCTTCGTCGCTCTTTTGCTGTTTCCTCATTCTCACGTAAGCTCCGACCATGTAATCGGAAACTGACGAGGGCACGACAGGCCGATATGTGCGCGCCTTAGCGATGTACTGACGGACTTCATTTGGCGTGAACAAAACTCCAGCATCGTCGATCTCGGGTGTTTGTTGTGCATGTGGACGTACGCAACGTGGTTGGCCAGTTCCTCATCGGCTTCCCGCTGTGGAGTGTCTAGGATGAGGAACATGACGTCGAAACGCGAGAGCAATGCGGCGGGAAGGTTGATGTTCTCTACTGGAGAGATCCGCGGGTTGTAGCGTCCATAGAGAGGGTTGGCTGCAGCCAGTATGGAAGTACGAGCGTTCAAGGTTGTTGTGATACCCGCCTTGGAAATGGAAATGGTCTGCTGTTCCATCACTTCGTGGATGGCCGTTCGATCGGTATCGTCCATCTTGTCGAATTCATCGATACAGCAAATGCCATTGTCCGCCAAAACCAGGGCTCCTCCCTCCAGCACCATCTCATCCGTTACAGGATCTCTCATAACAGCAGCCGTAAGACCGACACCACTGCTACCTCGTCCAGTAGTGTACACGCCTCGTGGAGCAACCTTGGTGATATATTTCAGCAACTGCGATTTGGCAACACCAGGATCACCCATCAGGCAGATATTGATGTCACCACGAATGTGCATGCCGTCGCCCATCTCCTTTGTCACACCTCCAATAAGCAGAAGAAGTAAGGCTTTCTTCACATCAAGATGGCCGTATATCTCGGGAGCAATGGAACGAGACAGATACTCGTACATATTTCCAGACTTTTGATACTGTTCAATCTTCCGGAGCGTTCGACTGTCCATCGTCAGATCATTGTAAGACTTCTTGTGATGTGTGATATGCTGAGCTTCCAAGTATGTGTCGGTTAAGAGACCGGCACGGATGGCCCTGAACCCTGTGTAAGGTGTGGGAAGGAAGATGCCGGCAACGTCAACAACATCTCCAGGGTTGAGCTGTCGTGTCAGACTTCCGTGGCAGTGAATGGTTAATGTTCGTGGAATGTGACCAACAGGAACCTGCTCTGCCATTTCTTGGATCTTGACCTCCTGGAAGGGAACAAATTTCGAAGCACGAGTGGAAAGAAACAATTGTCCCTTCGAGTTGTTCTGCTTGCATTCTTCAGACAAACACTCAGTCATAGGAAGGAATTGTTTTGTGGTAACCGGCTGAAACACTTCGCATCCACACCGATCACAAGTATAGGCGTTGATCTGGACTGATGGTTTGACGTCCGAGACACGAGTTGTGATACCACGAACCGTGATCAGACTACCCAGGTGTTCTGCTCGCACATTACGGACTGCGAGGGCCTTCGAGTCCCGGTCGCTGCTCGACCCAGATGGAGTAAGAGGCTTGAAATTGAGGGTGTATCGGCGAGTCAACTCAGGAGGAAACATCGAGGGAGCCGCAGCCGCATCCATATCGGCCTCCGCAGCCATCGCCATGGCCTCGTTTCGCTTTTCACGTTGCGACATGATGACATCGAGAACATCGTCCTTGAAGCTATAGGCTGTTAGATGGAAGCTTTCAAAGAATAGACCGGTCGACATACGTGATTTCCTTCGTCTCTTTCGGCATAACAGCATCGACCGCATCAGAGAAAACATCGATGTAACGCTTAGTATTCCGTTGTATGGACTCGACGAGCTTCAAATCTGTGTCCTCCGGCAGGGATTTCTCGAACTAGTACACAGGATTAGGTACTGCCTCGCAATCTGGACGTCCTGGAGTCTTACTGTAGCCAAGTCATCCAATTCAATCAGAACGTTTGACCGTTCCCGATCTGCTATGTCCTGCAGGATCTGCATGTACTTGAGCTTCGGTTCTCGACGCCTGCGGCGTGCGCTGGTCCCTTGTTGCCCGTTCTCATTTTCCACATCGTCCATGAAGTCATATTCATCGCTGGTAGCATCTCCGTCGATGTGAAGATCTTCAATCGCCTCGGTTGCAGCAGCTTCGGAAGCCGATTCAAATGTTTTGAAATGTTGTAAAAAGTCTTTGAAGGCGTTCAATTGCGCCGCATAGTCGACTGGCGGTGGGTACTGAACGAGAGCCATCGTGAGGCAATGGAGCAAGCCAATTCAATTGAGCTTGACCTGGCAAAGTAGTGCAGTTGGCGACAGGATCAGATTTCCACCGATCAGAGCAAGAAGAAATCAAGGACTCAAGTGAGGGTTGGCTGGTACCTTAGTGTACTTCATTAGTGGATCTTTGGCGCCCGCAGCTTTTTGGCGCAAAACACGTCGCGACGCGAAAGAGACGCGTTTCCATTCCTCATATTGCACTAGGCTCATATTGGGCTAGTGTAAATAGCACGTGGGGCGGAACGGAAAATGTCTCGGTCCGAAATACATCAGGCGGGCCGACTCGGCGAACAGCAGGTGCGGGCATTTGATTTGCGGAGTCACTGAAGTCCGGGGGATGCTATCTGTCGGTTGTCGATGTTTCTCTTCCTCCGGACATCGCGAAACTTCTCTCCTGATCTTATTTAACAGCAGGGTTCTGAATATCAGCGCCGGAGAATGGCGCCCAGAAAACCCTCGAGCACAGCGGAGGTCGCACTCGTGCCTTTGAAGAACTGTCTAGTGAACTTGCCTCCGTCGCTTGTCTCACTGCTGGTCAATGCCAACACGGTGCGTCGCCTTCACGTGAAACCCTTGATTTTGACTTTACAAGCATCTAATATTGTTGCTAGGCTGCACAAAATGTCATAGTTGAGCTACAATATCGTCCCGCTTCGGGGAGGGCAAACAGCAACCAGGCGCAGCGATCATGTTACCTAGGATGGACGGGAATGCCGAGCAAGCGAAAGCTTGCACCCGTCGTTGGTCGGGAAGGAATTAGTAGTGCATCTACGAGGGAGCTGGACGTATCTACTGTTGAGGTAGATACCACGTTCGGAAGAGTTGTGGGCCTCTCAGAAGGGCAGAAGGTTAGCCCCTCTTGGAGATTCTGGTTACCACGGGTTTCTCACGCGCGTCCAGGTTGGGATATATATTCACCTTGATCCGCCAGTCGCTCACACCATTAATATCGAGCCATTAACTCCGGAAGATTGGGAGAGTATGCGTTAGCCACCATGTGAGACTGAATGATCGCGTCCGCTGACAACGCGTTGCCTTTAGTTATTGAGCTTCATGCGAATTTCCTGGAACTCAATCTCCTGTCGCAAATCCGCGCTCTCCCTAATCCTACGTACAGCTCGGCACAGTCAGAGCACATGCATCCCCTTGCGCTGCACCTTTCCCCGACATCCACCGCTAACATCGTCATTACCTCGCTTACTCCCGCACCATCTAATACATCACCATTTGCGAAAATAGCACCTGACGCAGAAGTTATTGTTGCGCCAAAGGTGCGGCCTAAATCTGCCTCCAGAGGTCCAAGGGGCGATAGCCGAAGCGTGAACGGCAGCAGCAGGAAAAGTGTCGGTGGGAGAAGCAGTGGAAGCACAGTGCGACCCAAGAGCGGCCGTGACTCGACAAGTAGAGGCGCTCTCTTTTTTCGAGGGGTGGACCGCCGCTTGGTCGAGCCTTACTTCGATGGGGAATTCGAGGATGATATCAATGAGGGCTTCCGCGTCTGGGTCGACCCCGACATGCTTGCAACAAGTGAGCTTCGTGGGGCCAGCTGGGTCTGTATTACTGTCGTCCAACCTGCGGGATTGAAGGCACCACCGGATCCCCAACAACAAATGAACCAAGCTGAGCAGAAGGCAAGCGAAGCAGGGGCGCCGGCGACAAAACTGGTGGCTAGGTTAGCGCCCTGGGTGGACTCGCCAGATAGTCAGCATATCGCCATGTCTACCACGCTATGCTCCGCGCTGGGCGCTGAAGGTATGGTTGGAGGCGTTATACGTGTCGAAGCAGCTCCTCCGCAGTTGCAACGGTCTATTTTCACGATGCTTAAAATCTACCCTTTCATGTTTGATTCTACTAAGAAAAAGGACGGGCTCAAATTTGGAGCAGACACCGCAGCAGCCAAAGATGCGCTGCTTGAGCGTATCAAAGTGATTTATGGTAGCACCGGGACGGATAAAGGGCTGTTGTCTGGCCCTTTAACCGACGGGATGATTTTACCAAGATTCGAAAGTCCAACGGTGTCCGCCTTCGATGGCGCTATTGTCCGATTTGATCCTCCCTTGAAGAGCAGTCCTGATGGCCCAAAACAGACGCTCGGATGGGTTTTGGGGTCCGAAGCGAAACTATCGCTGGAGGTGCAAGCTGAGATTCCTAGGCCTGCTGAACAAGGCCAATTGTCCTTACCCACCGAGGAGCCGCTTCCCAGCGGTATTCCGGAGATGGTTGGCATCGACCAGGTTATTTCTCAGTCCCTTGACAACTTGACCAAATCATCTTCTGTCTTGGTGACGGGCGGTCTCGGGTCAGGAAAGACAGCACTGACGCATTTGCTGGCGCATCGTCTGCGAAAAGACCACTTGTTCAACGTGAAATATTTCTCTTGTCGAAAACTTGTCACTGATGAAACTCGAATCTCGAATATCAAGGAGACCCTCAATCGCCTGTTCATGTCTGCTTCTTGGTGTGCTCGTCTTGGCGGCCAGTCCGTTGTGATTCTGGACGACCTTGATAAGCTATGCCCAGTGGAAACTGAGCTGCAGGTAGGAGGAGACAATGGCCGCAGCCGTCAAAATAGCGAGGTAATCTGTTCGATGGTGCGAGAATACTGCTCAATGAACTCTTCTGTGGTGCTGTTAGCGACCGCCCAATCGAAAGAGTCGTTGAACAACGTCATCATCGGGGGCCATGTGGTCCGAGAGATCATCCACCTGAGAGCGCCTGACAAGGAAGGACGGCGCAAAGTGCTTGAGAAGCTGACGAGCCATGATCGAGCCTCCACCAGCCTTACCAATGGACATGCGCGAACGGCGAGCGCGTCCACTCAAGACTCCTGGTTAGATCCTTCGAATCCTGGAAGCCGTCCGAGCTCCGCTGGAGGAGATGGCTTCGTTCTCGCACGAGACATCGATTTTCTCGATCTGGCTGGGAAGACAGATGGATACATGCCCGGCGATCTGGTCTTGCTTGTCGCTCGGGCGCGGAATGAGGCTCTTATACGGTCCGTTCAAGACTCTCAGGCCGCATCCAAAGCAGTCACTCTCGGCGCTGAGGACTTTGAGAACGCCATTAAAGGGTTCACGCCGGCGTCTCTGCGCAATGTCACGCTCACCTCCTCTACCACAACATTCTCAGCTATTGGCGGTCTGCACGAAACCCGGAAAATGCTGCTGGAGACGTTGCAGTACCCGACCAAGTATGCGCCTATCTTTGCGCAATGTCCTCTGCGTTTGCGTTCTGGCTTGCTCCTGTACGGCTTTCCGGGATGCGGGAAGACCCTTCTGGCTAGTGCGATAGCAGGCGAATGTGGCCTGAACTTCATTAGCGTCAAGGGTCCCGAAATCTTGAACAAGTACATCGGTGCGAGTGAAAAGAGTGTGCGTGATCTGTTTGAACGAGCCCAGGCCGCCCGACCGTGCATTCTCTTCTTTGATGAATTCGATAGTATTGCTCCCAAGCGTGGCCACGACTCTACCGGCGTCACGGATCGTGTTGTCAACCAGCTTCTCACACAGATGGACGGTGCAGAAGGTCTTTCAGGCGTGTATGTTCTCGCTGCCACCTCTCGGCCTGACCTGATTGACCCTGCGTTGCTCCGGCCCGGACGATTGGACAAGTCTCTGCTCTGCGACATGCCAAGTCAGTCGGAACGGGTCGATATCATTCGAGCTGTGAGTACAAAGCTTGTGATGGACGCCGAGGTTGTTGCTCGTATGGACGAAATAGCTGCAAGAACCGAGGGCTTCTCCGGAGCTGATCTGCAAGCCGTCGTGTATAATGCCCACCTAGAAGCTGTCCACGATGCACTTGGCGACCATTCTGGTACAACCGACAAATCAACAACAAAGAACAGTTCCAAGCCTACATCGAGCACCAGCAGCAAGTCATTCATCCAGTTCCTGTACTCTACGTCGGAACAAAGAGCTGGCGATGTCTCTCTACCTCCACCAGCCGTCGTCGCTGCCAAAATCGAAGCCATTAAGAACGCTCGACGTCGTCAACGCCAGATCGAACAGGGCACGAATGGTGCTGCACCGACTACAAATGGCGCTGCTTCTGAAGAAGCGCCGCGCGAGGAGATCGTGGTCCGATGGGAACACATGGAACGATCCCTTTCCACCACACGCTGCTCACTCAGCGAGCATGAACGCAGGCGATTGCAAGCAATCTATCGTGAGTTCGTGGAGGGACGTAATGGCGAAATGCCGAATGGTGAAGCAGGTCGGGAGATCGGTGGGCGGACGAGCCTGATGTAGATGGGTGCATATCTTTTCTTTTCTCTTTTACAATTTCAAGATCATGTATTAGAACTACATTGCTATGTTTCAGCAGTATACTCCGGAGTACATGCATAGCTAGAGAGCGATGTGTTACGATGAGACATGGAATTCTTTGACATACTCCGTACAGTTCCCCAGAGATCGGTCAAGCCCAAAGACATAAGAGAAAAACAAAGCGAAAAAAAAAAAAAAAAGTACTCGGCCCCATCTCGAACCCAGGACCTTTTCCACACACATAGAAAGGTACAGAAAACTCAACACCTCCAAATGAGGTCTGTAAGAATAAAAAAAAACTGGTAGCTTCTCTTTGATTGAGCGTGTCATCCTTAGTGCAGGGGCCATGCTAATCTTCTCTGTATCGTTTCAAATTGACCAAATGCCCGAAGGCACTTGGGAAGAGATTAAAGTGGTCTATATGCCTTTCTTGAAGCGGGATCTCTGGGCTGCGATTGGCCCGCCAAGCGATGGCGGAGAACATCAAAATGCCCTGTCACACACTGTCAGTTGGGAATGCTTCACGGTTGTCAAGCAGGACGAGGCAGCGATAGGAGGATTCAGTGAGAAGTCTGATGATCGACTGCACTGTCCATTTCAGGAAAGAGACTTGAGATTCTCTGTTTGGTAAAAGGTCGGACTAGGTGCAGAGGTCTATGTATTCCAAACAGTACATTCTGCTTGTGTCAGTTGCTGAGCATGTAGGTACCCCGTTTTGTAAGGAGTCATGAAGAGATACCATCCTGAGAGTGAGGAATGCTAGGATTCAAAGAGTAAGAGCCTTCAGAGGAGGGATATCAGTTGGCATCCGACAGGTCTAATTTCAGTCCAATGAGTGTTGCTTTCTTAGTCATCCCGAGTTCCCCACAAAATGCAACAGAATCCCCCAGCATCGCAATGCCGTAAAGCCGCAAAAGCCAAAAAGCCTACTGCACCGATGCAGATACCGAGAGATCCGGTAGAAGTGATGTTCTATCTACTGTTAATTTGATACATGATAAAATCCATCATCAAGACGATCAATCTTATCTAAAAGCTCTTTTGGAAGACTCAAACACAGTCTATCGCGGGTTACTCAGGTCTATCAGTAACTGGTATTGATCGCCGCTGATGGCCGACGCATCTCGGGTATTGGCGTCTCAACGGCGAGGATACCGAGGCAGTGTCCGGATGTTGATTAGTAGTTCCAAGGTTATTGTCCCTCGTCATCTAGAGAGACGGTCATCTGGTGTACCTTGTCTTTTCTTTATCTCCCGTTAAAGACTGCGACTCTTCCAGTTGGACTCCACGATCACGCTCACACTCGTCCTCTTCATTTCGAGTCATCCGGTTCTCCTCATCTCTGTCGACACTACCCCGCATCTTCTAGCCACAATGCCCGTCTCCTCACCGTATCCTTCGATAGAAATCCCCAATATCGACCTTTGGACCTTTCTCTTTGAGAGGAAGGACAGGCCTTTTCCGGATGACAAGGGTTCGTGTATCCCTTGTTCTTTCCATGCCCCGACCTGAAAACTAACTGTAAACAGTCATCTACATAGACGCCGACACAAAGCGACAATATACCTACAAAGATGTAAAAGAGACGGCGCTCGCATTCGGCAAAGGCCTGAAGGCCGTCCTGGACTGGAAGAAGGGGGATGTGCTTGCCCTCTTCACACCCAACTGCATTGATACACCGGCTGTAATGTGGGGGACTCATTGGGCTGGGGGTGTGGTATCTCCAGCAAATCCCGCATACACCGTGGAGGAGCTGGCGTTTCAGTTGAAGAACTCTGGTGCGAAGGCTCTCATCACTCAGATGGCGCTGCTACCAGTCGCCACGGCGGCTGCAAAGCAGGCAGGGATCACGGAAGACCGAATCATCCTCATCGGCGATGACCGCGACCCACAAGCCAAATTTAAGCATTTCAGTTCGATCAGGAACATTTCGGGGGCGACTAGGTACCGCAAGACCAAAATCAATCCTGCGACGGATCTGGCATTCCTGGTCTATTCGTCGGGGACTACTGGTGTGCCTAAGGGAGTTATGCTGAGTCACCGAAATATTGTCGCCAATTCTCTCCAACTTGCGGCAGGAGAGGATAAGCAGTTGAGTTGGAATGGTGGCACAGATGGAAAGGGAGATCGAATTTTGGCCTTCCTTCCCTTTTACCACATCTACGGTCCGTCCTGCGGCTGCATCACATCGTCTTAACCTATCATACTGACAAAAGCTTCTAGGGTTGACCTGCCTGGTCCACCAGACCATCTACCAAGGGTACGAACTGTATGTCATGCCAAAGTTCGACATCGAGAAGTGGTGTGCCCATGTGCAGAATTACCGTATCACGTTCAGCTACGTGGTGCCCCCGGTCGTACTGTTGCTCGGCAAGCATCCTATTGTCGACAAGTACGATCTGTCCAGTCTCCGTATGATGAACTCTGGTGCCGCACCACTCACGCAGGAACTTGTCGAGACTGTTTATTCACGTATCAAGACTGGTATCAAACAGGGATACGGTCTCAGCGAGACCAGCCCGACTACACACACCCAGCCATGGGGAGAGTGGCGCACAAGCATTGGTTCCGTGGGCAAGTTGCTCCCCAACATGGAAGCCAAGTATATGACCATGCCTGAAGATGGGTCCGAACCTCGCGAAGTGCCTGTGGGCGAGGTGGGCGAGCTGTACTTGCGCGGACCCAACGTTTTCCTGGGCTACCACAACAACCCGGAGGCGACGGCCACGTGCCTTTCTAAGGACGGATGGTTCCAGACGGGAGACGTGGGCTACCAAGACAAGGATAACAACTTCTACATCACAGATCGTGTCAAGGAGCTCATCAAGTACAAGGGCTTCCAGGTCGCTCCGGCGGAGCTGGAAGGAATTCTGGTGGACAACGAGGCGGTCGATGACGTCGCTGTCCTTGGTGTGGAGAGCGAAGCACACGGAACTGAAGTGCCACTTGCTTACATTGTGCGAAGCGCAAAGAGCAAGAGCTCGAACATCACTGCCGAGGAGGAGGCCACGAGGATCGTCCAGTGGCTGGATGCCAAGGTTGCATACCACAAGCGGTTGCGTGGAGGTGTGAGATTTGTGGACGAGATCCCCAAGAGTCCGAGTGGGAAAATTCTGCGACGGCTTCTCAAGAAGCAGGCCAAGGAGGATGCCAGCAAGGCCCTAGGGGCCTCTGCTCCCAAGGCCAAGCTGTAATAGATCTTGTATATAACGAACATCGAGAAACATGAGGATACCTGTCATGACAATCGTAGTTTCTTCATTATAAGGCCAACCTGTAAGCTGCACAATCACGGGAAGAAGCGCTTCACCATGCCATCAACATCTTCCCCATCAACCGCATCCACTTTTCCCCGCGCTACTCGTTCAACAGCCTCCTCTATCGGCTCTTCCCCATTCAACAAATCATACCAACCCTCTGTATCCGCCCTGGCCAGCAGCTGATCCGCCACTCTGGCAACATCCTCTCTCGTCACCTTCCCCTGGCCCCTAGTCTTCCCCAGTGCCACCCGTCCCGTCGCAGGCTCATCAGTCAACGTCCCCGGCCGCAGACAGATCGCCTGCAGCTTCGGCCCGTCGGACTGCTTGCGCCGCGCCGCCAACGCAGTCATGTACTCGTCCGCCTCGAGCTTGGCCTTGGCATACACAGGAAGAATATTATTAAAAACGTTCTGAATACTCGCCCAATCCTCATCTGACATCCAGCTCGGATGGAGCCGTCGACTACCCAGCCACGAGACGAGCAGGAACTTGGTGACGCGAGGCGAGTCGAACGACGCAGCAAGGAAGTGCTTTGCCGCTTTTTCGTCGATGGCGAAGGTGCGCTCGGGGCCGCCTTTGCCTCCGGCTCCTGTAGTTTATTTGACCAGTCAATCAACTGCCGCATGCTGGACATGGCAATAGGGTGGATACCATACCGGCCGACCAAACTACATAATCCGGCGACACGGCGTCGATGATCTTCTTCGCGTCATCGTCGCTTTTCACGTCCTGGAGGCTGGATATGAGAACGGACAGTTTGCCTCTTGCGCCTTTGCCTAACGCGAGGATCGCGTTCTCGTGCTCGGGGTTGCGGATGACGCTGGTGACGTTCCAGGCGCGGGCGAGCAGGAGCGGGGTTAATTTCTGGGCTACCTTGCCGTGGCCGCCGAGGAGGAGGACTTGCATTGTGTAAGGGGGTATCGGTGGGTTTATTGATATTTACTTATCAGCGGGTTTGTAAACTAGAGGACTATTATTTGGAGGTGATGGTATAGAGAAGTTGGTGCAATGTGGGTTGATGATTGTGGTGGTGTTTTCATTGCGTCATGGACTTGGCACTTGTCGATTGTTTTGAGCTGGGGCTTTATTGCATTGCTGGTCGATATACCCCTGGACTTGATCGCATCGAGATGGATAGCTCATGTAGGATCAACTAACATCAGAGATTGTTGAAGAGACAACATTTCGCCTCTCGTTGCTGCTTAGAGTTTTCCATATATACTTTTGGTTTACTTTTAGATACGGAGTTATATATATATCCGTGGTAGCAGCAAGGCAATCCGTCACCATTGACAACTCAGAACAACAGAGTATCAGCATTGTCCACTCGATTGGCAAATTTTATTATCCAGTAAGGGATCTGTTTATTTGGAAAATGGATATAACTAGTCAGTATAGCTACCCTTCTGAGTATGGCAAATACATGAAAGTCTCAGAAGCCCTTTATTGAAGATTCGACCCCCTTCGAGTATCAACACCGAACATCCCCAGTTTTCGCTTCGGGCTGACAAGGTGACAGATCGTAATTAAACCGGATTAAATGTCTTACTTTAAGTGCACTGGTGACGTAGGGACCAGAAGGAATCAATGAGAAGTATACGTCCAGATTGTGACTACTGATTTCTCAGTAAGAGTATGATACCATGATGAAACTAAGCCTCTAAAATGGATCGAAAGAGGGAGTCTGAATATTGAGTCGCTTGTGTCATGTGTAAAGCTTGGTCGGTGACTAGAGGACGGCTTTGCTTGATTCGCATCATTCAACAATGAATTCCTGCATCTGAACTGTGAGACATGGGGTAGATTCTCCGTAGATAGTGAGATGGTGAGTTCCAGCCTTGACACCTTAATAATGCCGCGGTGGAGTCTGGATAATGACCATGAGGAAGGCGACCAATGATGATCTGACGAGGGAACTGTTTAATGAAGGACCCAAAGACCCGAATGGTCCAGGCCTGGGAGATTATGAGGATGTCTGATTTGAATCTGTGTTTGACTACCCTGTACGGAAAGAACCGCAGCATTCCTGGCCGGTACTGTACTACTTAATAAAGAATGACCCTACATTTCACAGAGTTTCCTTAATTAAGTCTATCTACTTGATTCGTCAGGATGGAGTCTACCTTTACCACATACTAAAGAAGTACGCAAGAGACAGACCTGACTGGAGATGAAGTAAAGGTAATATAATATGTATGGATCGACTGGGTCTGTCAAAGTGAAATACCACTTATCCTTTCTAGTACTAGTCAGGGGCACCCACCCGTTTGGCAAACTCAATTACAGTGCTGTCTTGTATTAGGTACGTATCAACACGAACTCAAAACCACACTAAGCTTGCCTGTAACAATATTAATGTCCCACAGCCGCAGGGGCCCCGAGGACTCAATAATTGCCATTGGGCACCAAAGGAGGTCTTCCAACTCCTTCGACTCAAGCTTAGAAGTTTCCTATGAATCCATCCATCCAGGACTTCGCGAGGCTTGATACTAAGAGCCGGTAATTTACCTCGCCAACGGCTGTCAGGCTGCCATTACACCAATAACGAAGGATTTTCCAGTTGGAGTCAATCCGTGGCGTTACCTAGCGCGTAGGTAGTCCTACCTATGTATCTATATGGTAACAGGGATACTCGATCTTTCCTTGCTGTTCCTGTTCAGCATTCCGATCAACGGGTTCATTTCGCTACCATCATCCGGCGAGTGGTTCATTGATCGTCGTACAATGGTTCACTGGGTAGACAGATGCTCGAGCTGAGAAACACGATCGTCAAAGCTCGGATGGTGAGATGGACCTCGTTTAAACATGCTCATCTCGCCTAAAATCTGGATACTCCCATTATTTGAGCGTGCTATGGCCGGGTTGACCTGTGGGCCTATGCAAGACCACACATGATATGAAGTGTGATACGTCCAAACCAGCGACTCGGAGAATATCGTCTGATGTTAAAACGCGTCAAGTTTTTGGCTCCACGGAGAACATATACTTTTCGCAGTTGGAGTTTGTCACGAGGCACTCAGTTGGCTTTGTTCACTGTATTATCCGGTTTTGCGTACAATTTCTTACTAGTCTTTCTGGGACTAATATCTCTTATATCTCAAGGTCAATATTAGTTACTCGAGTGATGACGTCTACTTGATGTTATCGATTGAGATGGACACGCCGAGGACACAAAACCGGGAATTTAGAAAGTGTCCAAGCAGGCTAGCACTAACAGAGTCAGTGTTCGAATCCTTCGAACCTCCAGTATCCGGAGCAGAGCCACAACCTGAGCTCTATTTGTGAGATCATCATGGAGTGTCTTGTCCCTATTGCAAGTGTACCTGAATCTCGTCAAGAAATCAAATACATGAATGTCCACATGAGCGCTGCTACCGTGCGTATATCCCTTAAAATCATGATTTTGGACTCGGAGACATCAAGTAGATAGGCTGGCGGCTGCTCAATGGATGAATCCAAACTGAGGCTGAGTACACAAGACTGATGGGATACTGAGATGCATCCTCATGCAGCCTTCCATTTCCAATTATTCTTCATTGAGGCTCCAGCTCAGCCTTCGTCCTCAGCCCCAGATCGGCCCACATCGGTCACATCCCGTGGAAAGAACCAGATTTGGTGATCTCGCTGAACAAATCTACATTACGTGAGCTGCTGCAAACCTGATTATTGAATCATTAAGCATCATGACTCCGTACCAAAATAAGCAGGTACCGGCAGAGAAATCTCTCCAAGTCTGTCATGAAGGACAAGATGAATATTACAGATTCATATTTCATACATTAATTGCGTATCAAAACATTTCGTACCGTATAGTAGCTGAAACCATCCCTCATACCCGCTGTTATTGCATCATCCTATTGGACTATTGAGTTGCGGGGCCTGCAAGGGACGCTCCGCGCTAGTATGAGGTACCGTACAGTATCAGAAGGTCACCCATGGTTTCTTAACAGTTTATATCTCGTGTTCCTGTGGTCGAAATTGAATATGACGGACGTCGTACCAGGGGCATGTAACCACGGGAATAAGACTGTTCAATAATAGGTAAATCAGGCTGTATAGAGGCATCAAAAAGGAATGTTCACAACTAATTCTGCGCCCATCAAGTGGAGGTGTTCTTCAACTTCGGCATCGAAATTTGATGTCTTTGTCGATCCCCTACCAATCAAACACTCGCCAGTGTCGCTAATGAGGCCCAGAAATTCTCTGACTGTACTATCAAGCACACCTGCACACCAAGGCAGACTAGCACCGAGTAAAGTCCTCTGTAGTCTGTATCCAAGCTCGGTACCTATGCGCTGGAACACTTAAGAAGAGAAGGGAAGAACAAGACAAAATGAAAATGAAAAGAGAAAAGTGTAAAATAGGAAGTATCATGGACGATCGGATCCAGATCCTTTATTTTTCTTTATTTTTTATTTTATTTTATTCTTTTCCTTCGCCCCATTCCTGATTAACAAATCAATAATAACCCAGAAAAGTACCGAGTAAAGGATAATAAAACAATAAAATCGTCTGAACGCATGACAATATTACTTTGACTTTTTCCCTTCCTTTTCCCCTTCTTCGACTTCGACTCTATCGCTCCTTAATGGACTAAACACATTTCCAGCATCCTTCGTATCCAACTTCCGTCTTTCATTTATCCTGCCTTCTGATATCTCCAATTGATCACCAATTGCTCGAATCGAATCAATTGTTCACGATCCATTCTTTCGCTCTCTTTGGTCGTCTCCTCCACTGTAGACGTTAAACTGTACAACCAACCAAATACCTCCGCCACCCTCAACATTGCATTGCAGCCACATTCAACCATCCTATGCGGGCTCCCCATTAGTCGGCTCCGACCAGTTCTATCCCACCTAGAATTCTTCATCTGCTTCGTGACTCTCCTGTCTCCCCGTCTGTCGATACCTCAGCCCATCCCTATCTTTAATTGGCTATTTTTGGAGCAAGCCAAAGTACTATTCGCAGCTGCGGAGTCCGACATTCTATGCGCAGGGGATGAATTCATGATTGTGATACATTGATATCTCTTCTCTCACTCTCATCACTTTCTGTTTTCTCAGTTATCCTGTATGTCATTGCTCACCCGTCGTTTATCAATTCCGCGCCCTTTCTCTGTCTGTACAGTGTTGTCAACAGTCGATGGCTTCATTTCTGACTGGTAATCGTTGACGGCGTAGCGGTTCACATAATCTTTCGATCGAGTGGCCACTCCTGATTGTGCTACGATCATCGAGCCTTACTTGGACGGATATTTTCGCCTTACCAGCATAATCCGTGTCTTGCGACCGAATCATGAATCGATTCCGGAAAAACAGAAAGGAGAAAGTGAAGGAGGATGGCGAGAGCATGGAGAGTGTACCGACATCGCTGACCTCCAAGTTATCATGGAAGAGCAAGAAAGGAGAACAAGAAGAAAAACCGGAGCTAGACCTCGCGAATGCCCTACCATCTAAGGATGACTTTCGCACCAGCTTGCTGATGCCGAAGCTGTCCGCACGTTTCAGCATGCTGCGAGAACAGGATGACCCAGACTCATTGATCGGCAAAGCGAGTGACGATAGCGTCCTCTTTCCCAAGCGCGCTTCCCGGTTGAATCTTTTCGGGCACAGTCCCAACCTTTTGGCAGACATTGACGAGGCTTCTCTAGATGGTAGGCCATCGATCAACCTGGGCCGTACCGATTCGTTCGTCTCCGGCGGCGACGGTGGCTATGGGACCGATGATGATCGTTCGCACAATGGCAGTATCATGAGCCGGTCCCGACGAACCGAGGGCAATAATCTATTTGGTGGACGGCAGAAGGTTTACAAGATCCCGACCAAGACAGCGAATGGTTCCGGATCCGAGTCGGGTCGAGCACCGGTGGGACGCGCCCTTTATGAGCACGACCTGTCCATGTCTGCTTTCCAACGCTTGAGACTAAAGGAAAAGGAGGAAGAGCGCGAGGCCGAAGAGAATCAGAACGAATCTCTAGCCCAAGAATCGGAGGATGGTCTATCAAGCATCTCCTCCATGAAGCGGACAACATCGTCCTCAACTGCATCGGGCCCTACTGCCAATCGTCGCACGTCAACGGCAGCTACCTCGATCGATGGAGAATCATTTTCCACGGGGACTGGGGTTCCTGGCGAAAATCTGAAGTCAGGATTCATA